GAGGCCATGGAACTTCAAAGCAAGATAAGAGACGTGAAAACCTCACAAGGAAGCACGGATAGATGGGAATGGATTCACGACAAAAATGGCCAATACACAACAAAATCAGCATATTCACTTTTAACAAAAGAAGAGAGTGGAGCAAATGGAAGCACAACATTCACAAGAGTCTGGAATCCCATTCTTCCAAGCAAAATATCGACGTTTAATTGGCAACTACTACAGGATAGAATTCCAACAAAAATGAATCTACTGAGAAGAAGGGTCATTAAAGACATGGGAGAAAGCAGATGTGGTATATGCAATGAAAGAGAGGAAGACTCAACGCACATGTTTTTAAAATGCAAGATGGCTCAATGGTTATGGATGGCTTGTGCAAAGTGGTGGGGGATTAAAATCACACTACAAGAGGATTGCTGGAACACTTTCCAGAACTTTGAAAGAGATTTGAAAGAAGCAAATTTGGAACTCCTTGGTATGGACGGTGTGGCTGGCTAGAAATCAAAAGCTATTTCAAGGAAAAAAGATTGATGCGGGAAAGCTATTTGAGCTCATCCAGATGAGATCCTTTTTTTGGGTTAAATCAAAAAATGACAGGTATGCTTTTAATCTTGTTAACTGGATTATGAATCCTGTTGCATGCTTGAGGGAGTGCTGTAGCAAAAGAAGGGCACCAATCAAATAATTGCGGAGCCAAGACTAATTTAGCTAGTGATTTTGGTCAAATGTTAGATGGGATGACAAATGGGAAGGTTTTGTGGATCTGAACAGTGATTTATGAATGAAACTGCAATAGTGGGCAGAAGCTCGACACGGGTATAGTGTCGACACGGTCTGTTGGTGTCGACACCAGATGGTCAGCATCTAAAACTCCGACACGAACGTGGTGTTGACACATATTTTGGGTGTCGACACTAGATGGCAGGCGTCCAAAACATTTAATCTGGTACCTGTCAAGTATGATGTATGGGTTTGGGGTACCTCTTGTACTCCGGGCATTAATAAATATTAATTTTTGCTGTTCAAAAAAAAAAAAAAAAGTTAGTCCGGTGTTGAGAAGAATAGAAATATAATTAATAGTGATTTTGTCCTTTCTCACGCCGAATTGATCTGCACTTAGGTTGTGATAACTCGGTTATCCTTTCTGTAATCGCATGTATTCGTCTTTTGTGCATAGGAATGTTGGTTTTGTGCTATCTACCGTCTTGCTAGGGTACTGGTGTTTCTCTAAGATATTATCCGAATTACAAAAATCTTGTGTATTATCCTGCTATCGCTGTAAAATATTAATAAAAGTTTTACCTCTTTTGTATGTTGAGGATGTTAATTTATAGTTTTAAATTTTTTATTAACTAACTAATTACTCCATATATTATATTTTAATACAAGGTTTA